TTCTCATCCTCTCAGTTCCCTGGTTATCAAACCTTTTTTCTTCTCAGGAGCCCAAGTCCTGCCCTCGCCTGAGAAGACGACCTCCTGCTTGACCTCACTGAAGAGAGTCTTGTCACCACTTTGGAGAGCATCCGTCCTACACCTGCCCTCGCAGCCGCTCTCCCGCCCTTTTGCCCCCCTCCTGGTGCTGGGCAGGCCGACCGTGCCTCTATCCCGTCCCCATGACTCCGCGGCTCTGAGGCCAAACCACCATAGCCCTCCCTATCTCGGAAATGCCTCCTTTGGGCCTTATTCCCCCACTTTTTACCCATTTTGTGTCTCTCCTTCCTTTAAGTTCTAGACTTACTGAACAAAGGCTCTTTGTACCATGTCTCCATTTCTCTCCCACATTCTGCCTCTTTAACCACTGGCCTGGACTTTTGTTTCCGTCCCAGTGCTCCCACTGGACTGGGCATTTAAAGATCATCAGGGCCTTCCCTGTGAGATCAAAGGGCCTTTTCTTTATGTCCATCCCTCTTGAACACGCCGAAGAATGTTGACACTGTTAGTCACCTCTTTCTTCAAAGTCCTCCTTTGGCTTCCTCACTTCTGTGTCACCCTAGTTCTCCCGTCTTGTTGACTGCCCTCCGAGAATGTGCCTTCTGGTGTGAACAGTATTCCCATCAGGTGAGGCTCCGCGGCTTCTCGGACATCCCCAAGTACAATGTAAAATTTCAATCTTAGTAGCTCAGGCAAAGCTAAATGTTGGGGTCAGTTCTATAAAGGAGAAAGGGTCTTCTCTTTTGATATTATTTGATATTTTGATAACGAAATAAACACAGCCCAAACAATGTGAACCTGCCTGGCAGAGCTCATCTGGGCCCTACCAAAGAAGGTCCCTTCCCCCCACGCTGGCTAGGGCTTGCTGCCGTCTGTCATTGCTTAGTCGTAGGCTCTTACCCACTTGGTCAGTTCGGCCACCACTGAAGCACCGACCGCCCACAGTGCGGGCTGTGAGTCCTTTCCTGCCCTGCTCTTCATCTGTTTCGCTGGATTTTCCATGAAGTCCGTCCTTTGTGCTTTGCTCTATCGTCTCCACTAGGGAGAGGTGGAGCTACGCTGCCGACCCTCTGCCCAACCTTTTCTAACTCCGTGTCTCCAGCTTCCTCCTGGACACTTTCACTCATATCTTCCACCGCTACTTTTGATCCAGACAGTCACAAAACCAGAGTCCTCATCTTTTTTCCAATCCCAAATGAGCTCGCCTCCCCAATGTTGTTCTCTTCAAATGGCCCCCTGATTTTCCCACTCAGGCTCAGAAATATGAAGTTTGTCTTTAATTCATGCCTCTCGCTTTCATTCTCTGACTAGGCAGACTGTCCATTCTGCTTTATTTTTGTCTCCAGACTGTGTCTCCTTTCTGTCCTTCCTTTTTCCATTTGCCCCTGCTGTCATCCAGCCTGGGCCTTCAGCACTCACTCGGAGATTACCACTCTTCCTGAGTCCCTGTTAGAGGGGCCCCTGCTTTTCTGAACAGCACTTTCAGCATATCTCCCTGCTCTCTAAGTGGTTCAGTGGCCCTCGATGTCCTTTCATTCATTTGTCCCACCAGTGTTTACTGAGCGCCTATTATGTTGAGTGCAGCCTGTCTAGCTCTTCTGGGCAGAAGCACCCATTTAAACTCACTGCTCTAACACAAAGCCCCTATTTGAGCCACACCGGGTCACACTGCCACGGGAATGCCATTCTGGCCCGTCCCTCTCCCCCTATCCAAAGCCACCTCTCCCAAACCCAGCTCAAATGCCACCCTGCCCTGGCTAGATGTCCCTGGCTCCATGTTCTGATATTATTATCCTTTTTCTCTGGAATCCCTCTGCACCCACATAGCTCCCCATTTTCCTGAATTTTCCCATCTCCACAAATAGATTTCAAGATAGAGACCATGTTTTTACTTCCACTGTATTCAACAGAAGGTGCGGCCCAGAGTTGAGCACAAGATTGTCACTGACTAAATAGCCATTGGTGGATCTGAAGGGACACTCAACATATCCTGAAGGCCAAGCAGAAACTGTAGAACTTTGAAAGGGAAAGTGTAACTGTCAGAGGAACATGGAAGCAGCTATGTAAACTATGCAACATAAGATCTTGTTCGGCAGTAATGTCAGAATCAAAGTTTTCATTGAGATCAAAGTAAAAACCAGTTAAATGCCATCTCGTGGAGATCATTCATGTCGGCATCCAAGTAATAGAGAATCCCACTGCTGCCGCGGTAGATGAGTTATCTAAAAAGTGCGCATATGGTAGCTGTGGTGCTCTATAATTAGATCGCATGCACCTTACAAAGGTAAGCACTCACAGTGTGAGAGCTTTCAGGAGCTGCTCTAGTTTTGTCCTGAAATGGCCCCGTACGTTGACGATAGGAATAAGCCCGTTTTCCTCTTTCAAGCAGAAAGATATTTCATTCAGTCACTGTGTTTGTCTCACTTGATGTCAGCCCACAGTGGATCACGGGGTCCCCGGGTGGTCCATGGTTTGTACTTAGCCAGCAGAGCTTTGCTGTTCTGCGTGTGCTTCACTCCTCTGCTGTCATTTTCTCACTGAATTGGCCTTAGGGGTATGATTAAAAAGTGATATTGATAAAACACCTTAAGACCGTCTGCATGGTATCTGGAGCAGACTCTGATGGCTATGAAGAGAGGTGGATGTCGCTTCTACTTTGGAGGCTCCCATTTTGAGCTGACCTTGACCCATACTGCCAGCCCTCCCATAGATATTCGGTCTTCTGGTTAATTGTTGTATTCATTCAGGCATGCATTTTCCAAAACAAAACCCAAACTGTGGGGCGCCTGGGTGGCTCAGTCGTTAAGCGTCTGCCTTCGGCTCAGGTCATGATCCCAGGGTCCTGGGATCGAGTCCCACGTTGGGCTCCCTGCTCAGCGGGAAGCCTGCTTCTCCCTCTCCCACTGCCTGCTGCTCCCCCTGCTTGTGCTCTCTCTCTTTCTATCAAATAAAAAAATAATTTTTTTTTAAAAAAAGACTCCTTTTTAGCACGCTATGCTGTACTCAACAAGGCTGGGAAGGTAGCAGGAAGAAGTATAAATTCCCCCACCCTCGTCTTTTCTTCGAGACTTCCAGAAATGCACATTGCCCAAATGTTCTGCCTGCAGACATCAAGGAGGAAAGGCTACACATGCAGACCCCAACCTCAAAACTAGAGTAAAGGAGAAAGTCCACAAGCAGCCAAGGTGGTTAAAGGTGGTTTTCTGTAGAAACTCAGAAGGCTGTGCTTGTCTGGGGAGAGCAAGGAGAGAGGATGCCGTTTGTAGTTTAGCAAGGTAGGAGGGGTGGGCGGGTGGGAGAAACCTCCTGGAATGTAAAGGGAGGAACGGCCATTAAGCCAGGGCCGTGATAAGTGGGAAGAGAAAACACAGGGCCCCCGTGTTAGCCTGAGTTGGCCACTCTTGAGGGGAGAGTGGAGGTAAGTGACAGGTCAATAGGCCAGTCCCTGGATTGGGGCCAAGTTTGAAGTTGAAGAACTAGCACGGCAGAGTCCCAGGGACCACAAGAAGTTTGGCATCAGCGGTGTTGGATCAGGGACTGATGGGTGATCCACACTATGCGAGGCTTTTGTCCTGTGCCCCAGAGGAAAATCTCCAGCAGACTGAAGGAAGGGGCTGGGGCTATGGGCAGAGATGCCATTAAAAACGCTGTGACGGTCTGGGGTTGAGGAGAAGCAGGATGTAAACTAGAAGGGTCCCCTGACACCTGACATCCTTCACAGAAGAGTGGGTCATTTCACGTTCAGTAATTAGGTTTCTGAATTAAAATATTTTACCTTCTAAGAACATGCCAAATAGAATAGCTGCCAGTCACATTATGGGACAAAGAGGCTGGTAGGATATGTGACTGGTAATATTTTTCTAAAGACCTCAAATGACCACAACCAAGGCTTGAAAGTTTATTCTAGGAGAGGGTTAACGTTTGTCTATTTCTTTAGATCACGGTGAGTAAAGTTTTGTTTTATTTGCCTTTGAACCCATTCATAAAAGTTAATATTTTTAAACATTTTAAAATTCAAAATGAGAAGAGTGTTCTTTAAGGCTGCTGGAACTTGTACATGCACTTCCAGCTTGGGCCGCTCTCCTTACCGAAGAATGACCGAAGAACAGAGTTCTTTTGGTTCTAGTTGGAAGCATCTGGCCTGTTTGAGCAGTAGCGACAGGGAGAACGCCTTGTAACCTTGGTCCCCTGTGTCTGAGGAACACTGCCACCTTCACAGAGGAGGCCTGCGGGCTCTCCCTCCGTCTAGGAAGCAGCTCACGGCACATGACCCAATGACCATCGTCCCATGTTACAGATGGGGACACAGGCTCCTGCCTGGGGACGTGCAGTGAGTTTACCATGATGGAGTATTTGCCAAGTGAAAAAAGAAAGTAAGTCCTAGAAGTAGTAGGTTAATATGTGGCAGAAGTTATGCAGGAAAGTTACCGTAACCTCGCAGGAACAGAAAGGTGGAGGTTAGGAGTGGACCCAAGCTGTGTACCCCGCAGCACCAGAGCTCCTGGGAGACTGTGCCCTGGAAGAGAACAGGATGGGGAGTTAGAAGCCAGGGGAGAGTTACATTCCCCTCGGGCAAGTCATTTCTCTTTGGAGCTCTAGTTTCCTCATCTCTGAAGCGAGGGCTTCAGTCGCCCATGGGCATCTCCTTGGCGCCAGCGCTAGTTAGTGTAAGAGGAGCTCCGTGTTATGCCGGCGCTGCGGGCGTTTATCTAACCCTGCTCAGCGCGATGGTGGAGACACGCGTGCGCGCACACACACACACACCCCTGCACACGCACACTCGTGCTGTGGAGAGCTCCGCAGCGCCTCCCTCGTATGGAAGTGGGACTACAGCTCCCCCGGGGAAAGATTATTCCAGCGCCAAAGATTATTCCTGCCCCTCGGGGTGTTTGGACTGGACAGCTCGCCATAGGCTTCCTATTAACCAGCAATGTTCCCTTGCAGGTTAGCAATCTGAAGCAATGGGCGACTGGAGCTTTCTGGGGAGACTATTAGAGAACGCACAGGAGCACTCCACGGTCATTGGCAAGGTTTGGCTGACGGTCCTGTTCATCTTCAGGATCCTGGTGCTGGGCGCCGCAGCTGAGGAGGTGTGGGGGGACGAGCAGTCGGACTTCACGTGTAACACGCAGCAGCCCGGTTGCGAGAACGTCTGCTACGACAAAGCCTTCCCCATCTCCCACATCCGCTTCTGGGTGCTGCAGATCATCTTTGTGTCCACGCCCACCCTCATCTACCTGGGCCATGTGCTGCACATCGGGCGCATGGAAGAGAAGAAGAAAGAGCGGGAGGAAGAGCTGCTGAAGGGTGAGAGCCCGCACCACGTTCCGGCTGCACGCTGCGGGCCGGGCGGCCACGGCCAGAAGGACAGGCCGCCGGTGCGGGATGACCGGGGCAAGATCCGAATCGCCGGGGCCCTGCTCCGGACCTACGTCTTCAACATCATCTTTAAGACGCTGTTTGAAGTGGGCTTCATCGCCGGGCAGTACTTTCTGTACGGCTTTGAGCTGAAGCCGCTGTACCGCTGTGACCGGTGGCCCTGCCCCAACACGGTGGACTGCTTCATCTCCAGGCCCACGGAGAAGACCATATTCATCATCTTCATGCTGGCCGTGGCCTGCGTGTCCCTCTTACTCAACATGCTGGAGATCTACCACCTGGGCTGGAAGAAGCTTAAACAAGGAATGACCAACCACTATCGCTCAGACTCCCCTGAATCCACGGTGGGGGCCACAAACCCCGGGGGTGTGAGCCCACTCCTCCTCCCCTCCCACTCTGCCCCGCCCACAGTTACCATCGGATTCCCGCCTTACTACACTCACTCTGCCTCTTCCCTGGGAAAGGCCACGGCCGCGGGCTACCCCGGAGCCCCTCCACTAGCAACAGACTTCAACCTGGCAGCCCTGAACGAGGCACCGGGAAAGGACCACCCTGCCAAATTCTACAATGGCAACCACCACCTGCTAGTGACAGAACAGAACTGGGCCAACCAGGAGGCTGAGCAGCAGACTTCTGCGAGGAAGGCCTCCCCTCCAGCGTCGGCTTCTGCATCCCTGAGCCCTACAAGCAGTGCCCAGCAGCTCCCTGAGGACGGTGGCGCGGGAAGCAGCGCGCCCGGCCTGTCGCTGAATGGGCACGGCAGCAGCTTGGGAGAGAGCAAACTGGCAGTGACTCCCGACGACGGGGAGCAGGCAGCGACCACCGCGGTGGAGATGCACGCGCCTCCTTTGCTCCCGGCAGAGCCGGGCCGATCAAGCAAGGCCAGTAAGTCCAGCGGCGGCAGGGCCAGACCCAGTGACTTGGCCATCTAGCGGTGGTGTCTCCAGACAGCTTTATAATAACCTCTTTTCTAGCAACCAAAACCAAAGTGCAGTTCCAGTCTGCAGGTAGAGAAAGCCTGGAAGTGAGAGAGCACTGGAGTGGAAGAGGGGAAGATCAAGCAGAAAGAGAGCAGGTTTCTGTGTGTCCATGCTTGCTGTTCTTAACACTGTGAGGTAGAGTGGGGAGAACGTCCACGCTTGCTGAGATGGGGAGGTAGGGGCAAAGTGGGTGCAGGGGCTGTTGACCTTTAAAGATATTCACAACAACCCAAGAGTCCAGCAACCTGGGCCACCTTTGCAGGTGTTGCTGCCCAGCCTTGGGCTCCTGCTGTCTCTGTGGGTGACTGTTCCGCTGTGGTAAAAGCAGGTGGTGTCTGCAGTCACTTCAGTTCGGGGCAATTAGGCTTTCCATTCCTACGCTCTCCAGAGCCTCTGGGCAGCCCAGAAAGTCACAGACGCACTTAGCACTATCTCTGTTTGATACTTTTAACTTAGAGTTGAATTTCATTTGGGATATTTGCCAAACTGCACTAAAAAAAGATTTAGAGCAAGTCCATATAGTGTCATTTGAGTTTCTGAAATTGCCTGCGAAGCCCAGGATATCAAACTGTACGCTTCATGACAAGTGACAATGAGCAGCTACCCTCCAGAGGCGGATTCAGCGCAGGCGAGAGCCACAGAGGTTGCTGGTAAGAAAGCAGGTAGAAATGCAGCGACACTCGAGATAATTTTTAAACAGCTGAGGAAATTGAAATAAAAGTGTGGCAGGTATGCCTTAGGTATTTATTTTTTAAATGATATTTTGTGCTTTGATCTGAATTGTACAGGTATGCCTATTTCCCCCCACTTTCTTTCAGGAGAAATGAAAGAAAAATAGTACTATTAAAATGAATACTGACCAAGAGAATGCTAATTTGTCCCATTACATGCCGGTAAAGATTTGAACCTTCTTTTAAAGAAACTCTTCGACCTCATGAGTCAGCTAATTGCTATGCGAATGTACTATATAAAATAAAGGCAGGGGAAATTTAAGTGCATTTCAAATACTTGAAGTTGTGAAGTTTTTGAATGGAAGGTTAAAAGTTAACTACTCTTGCCAGAAAAATTATTTATACAGATGAATCGATGACCTACATTTTTTTTTTAACAGTACAAAATAAAACTCTTTGAGTTTCCTAACCATTCTTTGTGGGCAGCCTGTTTGCTTTCTAAAGTATAAATAAATAAAAGTATCTGGGTTTTACTTCCTGTGTAAGTGCATGTGCTGATTTCGGACGTGTGCCCCATCTGTCACCCACGCGGATTGCTGCACTGACAGGGAAGGCTCTTTCTCTGTGTGGGTGTGGCTGGAAGGTGGCAGAATTTTCTGTGCTGCACACCCTGCCGTCGTGTCTGAGTCGGTTTGTTTATAAACCGATGAACAGTGGTAATGCTGAGCCCGGTCCTTCTCACACTCCAACTTCCACTGAGTACTGTCAGCCCTTATTCAGCAAAACACCACACACTTGCCAATTTGATTCATTCCTCTGTGTGAATCAACACCAACTTCCCGATGATTTATCTGGGGCTACACTCCAAAACATACTTTGTGTTTTATATCATAAAGAGTGACCCACTAGCAACCTGGTGAGAAGACTGGGATTCCCATTCTCAGATTAACGCATACAGCTAGTTCATTAGAGCATTATGCTTTGTGGCAGAATGAACTGGGATAATCTCCTTGGCTTGAAAAATGCTAACTTCCCATAAATATCATTTCGGCCTTTCTCAAACAGATTTGAGCCTTACAGAAAATTATCTGAGTGACCATTTTCTCAATTCCCCCTAGGCTGGTGCATAACTTGTGCCACTGTACGATGCAGAGGAAAGAAGTTCATTCATCACCTACCGTGGATGCCTTAGGCTTCAGGAAGTAGAACCTAGTTCCCTGGGGTGAGAAGGGCCACCAGAAAATCCTAGTTGAAAAGCATTTTGATAAAAAAAAAAAGCTTTGGTAACAACTCGGTTAACAGACAGCCGAAGTGGATGTGAACACAGGTTCTTTAGGTTCTACCAGGATAAATGTTAGTAATAAGCTTCTGATCTACCCATGATTTGATTTTAAGTGGAGTTGGAGATGAGAGTGAGAACTATAATTATATTTAGTTTTTACATTTTAAAATTGGATTTTATTCACCATATGTTGATGAAGATGCCAGTATTGTGAATTGACCGTAGTCTAGTTGGCCCATTTAGTGCATGGGTAGGAGTGTGAAATTAGATTCACCTCCTTAGAAACCACTAATGTATAAAGAAGTAAAATTCTGTGATACAAAAGTGACTATAGTATTTTTTCAAGGTAGTGTTCTGATTTCAATTCATGTAAAAAATGAAAGCAGGCGTTCCATTTTGTTGCTATTTGAGGTATCCATGACCCTGAAGGCTAGGATCCTTCTCCCTCATGGGGATATGGGAGTGTGAAAGGGTGCTCTCTATTTAGCCAGTCACTGTAAGCATTAATACGTGCAATAAAAGTAGAAATCACCTCTCCCTATGGTCAAGATTCCAGATATGTTTTTTCTCTAGCCTGTTAATTATTCAGAAATTTCACTGAAATTATATTTATCTTAATGGAAAATTTTTTAATTCCATAAATTTGTTTTAAAACTCAAATGCTCTACCTAACATATTTATGCACCTTATCTTTTAATCTGCAGTATGCAAGACAATTACTTTCTTGCATCCATATTTGCAGAAGCTCAGTCATCCTATTGGCACTACATAATCTATGATAGTTATAAAATGTCAAGCATTACTAATCCATCTCCAAATCCATTTATTAAAATTCTAAAACATTTCTTAATCATTCACTTTCTCCTTTTAAAACTTTCTTTCACTGAATTATTTTTTCCCATGAAATTAACAAAAAAAGATACCTAAGTTTCCAAAAGAAAATAGAAAGGGGAAAAGAGCAAGCCAGAATATTTCTGACCCATCCTGACTTTCCTTGATCATTAAATAAGTGGCTAGATCATGGATTTCTTATACAAGAACACCTGGAATTAGAATTATGAATACAAGTCAAACATCCTTTAAAAAAATTAAGTTCATGAGATTTAGGTCTCTTTTCAATATAGGCTTCTTTCCCCCCTATTAACACTCTTAATTCTTTAGTATTTTTGAAAAAAGTCCTTTTGCTGAATTTTTTTCTTTTGAACTTTTCCTTCTGGTATTTGTAACATTGATTTGTGGATCTCCACCAAATAAATTCTTATACAAAGTATTGCATAATTTCAAAAGAAAAATGTTTCTGTAAAGATCAATAGATTCCTGCCACTGCCCCACCCCCACCTCCATGGAGTTCAGGACATTCTCTAGATAACTTTTAAATACGGTCAAACACGAAGGCATTGTACATTAAAGTCCGAAAATGCATTTCTCATTCTAATTTTATATTATTACACTGCAAAGCTGAGGTTTATGCATTTTAAGATTTCTCATTGCCCAAAATATTTTTTTCTCTTTGCATTATAGAATGTCTTAGCAAGACTTTTTATGGTCAGCTAGGAATTTAAATAACACTAAGAGCAGTGAACTGTTTCTAGTATTATATTTGAAGATGTTTGGTATGTAAATGTAACTTAGATCATAATATTTATAAAACTCTTACTAAAACTTTATTTTTTGTTTACAAAAATTGTAAATTTTTGTAACTGAAAATAAGCATCTTATGACCTAAGTAGTAAAAAGTGGCCTTAAATATAAATCACCGGCTCTGTAGTTGATTGTTTTTATTGATAGAATCCTTCAGCAGGTTTTCAAAGTAAAAAATTTTCATCTAGATAGAATAAGGAGAAAAAACTTTCCTACAAAAGAAGCTTGAGATATTTCTGCAATGGCTGTTCTGTTTTTTCACAGGTACTTAGGAACCTCAAGTAGCCTCTTCCAAGGGTTCCTGTAGCATTGTTACTAGCTTTTCCTATATGTTCTCCGGAAGAAATAATGTGCACGTTAACCTCGTGGGTCTCCTTAACTCCTCCTTCCTGCACGAACCTGCTAAGCTGTAATGGGGTTTCAAGAGCTGAGAGATCACTTTGCCTCGTGAAGCTGGAGTTTATCGTTCTCAGCGACCACTTTTCTGTATATAATTACAAGTAATTGTGTAGTTGTCATCTTTGCTTTTATGACATTTGGCAATACCTGCAATGTGTCCGACGCCAAGTCCTTTAATAGATATGCAATTCGCACTTTCGCTGTTCCCGCTTTACAAATCCACTTTGGGGATGATTTCCAGGGACGCGGTGTAACGAGACCGGCCTCGCTGCTTTGAAGGCTCTAAGGCAACGCAACATTCAAAATTCAACCCCACCAAACACGAATTGGTGAAAATTTCCCCCATTTCCTACCATAAGTGCCAAAGCCTGTTCTGATGCAGGTTTCGGAAAGAGGCTCGGCCCTCGGGTGCGGGGCCACAGCGTGGCGGCCCCCGGAGAGGCGGCCCGACCCCCCAGCCCGCGACCAGGCGGCAGCGCCCGCGAGGAGAAGGGAGGGGAGGTGGCGACAGTACCCCGGGGACTCCCAAGAGGGCGACAAGCGGGGCGGGGCGAGCAGAGATGGGGTTGGGGCGGTCGGTGTCCCCAGGCCGGTGCCGGGTGGCCTTCCGCAGACGTGCAGCGCGGAGTGGCAGCCGCGGCATGACCAGCCCCGCGCCCGGCTGCTGGAGGCCCCGGAGACAGGAACGCGACACTGCAGGCCCAGCGCGGCCAGCACCGGGGCGCACAAGCCAGGCGGGTTCATCCGCCGCAATGGAAGCCGGGCCGATAGTCAGCGCTCCCGGAACGTGCGGACTTCCGTGATGCTTTATAAGGGACGTGTCCCTTAGCAGGCATCCTCTCGCTGGGGACACACAAACTTCCTGTAGGGTGCACTGTCCCACGTCCCAGGCCCGGCCGCCTCCAGGGTCACAGACAAGGGTCAGAACTCTGCACTGCTCCTTTGCAGCCATGTGATCT